GGAACTTTAGAATTTGGACATTATATCTATCATGTTCATCTTAAATCTCATATTATATACTCAATATTCAATTAAACAGACAAAGATAACCTCTCTAGGCCCTCTGGTGGTGACGTATAAGTGCTTTCTCAGTACTTTCTCTCGCTTTTGGACAAATCCAGTGAGTTAACTTTTTATCAGTGGTCGACCGGGGGCAGGATTCTGACCGGGGCCGGGGAGCCCCAATATAGCTGGGGCTGGGCTGACGGGCTGACCACTGAGAATTGGCCGGGGTTAAATTTATTGGCCGGGGCCGGTGTTTACCCCCGGCGAATTGCCAATTTTTGGCCGGGGCCGGGAAGGGCTGGGCCCGCTGGGGGTTGTGATTTTGGCCGGGGCACCGGGCGACCACTGCTTTTTATGTCACGATTTAAAAAACTTTATTCATAAGTTTATGAAACATCAAAACTTTGCATGCTCTGCATTATGTAAAGTCAGTCATGCACTAGAGCACAGTTCACATATAACCTAATCCAGCCTAGGGGAGGGGGTTTGAAGTCGCTTGTGCTAGAGTGATTTATACTCAATAGCTATGTGAAAAGTGGCTCAAGGAGGGGAGACCGACGTAAACAATTTTGAATTGGTAGAAGTTAAGTTTAGGCTTTAATAAAATACTATTGAAAGAATATCATTCTTTTACCACAGACATAAGACTTTGCCGTAAGGTATACAAAAATGTGATCATTCATCAATTTTCAGAGTGCTGTATCTGTACCCGAATAGAAATAAAGGATTTTAATGAAACAGTTTTCTTCCGCTCTGAAAGTGAACGAATGACAAAACAGTCTAGAGAATTCCTCGCCCTGCTGCAGAAGATCAATCCTGGGTTGTGCTCACCAAAGCAAACCTCTTTTTTGTGTATTCAGTGTCTTAACTATGTAAAAGACAACTATAACAGGGTGAGTGGTTTCCTCCTGTTTTACTAACATTTAAAAACATTATTATTCAAAGTTAAATAGACAGCGAGTAGTAATTTTTAATCCATTTCTATCGGATTTGCAAACTTTTAAAATGATATAACACTTGTACGATCTCAAACTTATGTGATATGATACTGTTGATATAAATGTGGGAAGTAATAAAGTATTTGCAGGTGTACAGTGCTGTTTCTGAAATTGACGAATCTTCTTGTGATGAAGATTGAAGAAGCTATTGCCATCCAAGTGGAAAAAGTCCCGCCTTTGTCACCCTCGGCCTCCTCGAATAGAACTAAGAAAATGTGGAGACTTTCTTCATTTAGTTCCCAATCAAGTGGACCAGATGTTGATTTGTTTGAAATGGACTGAGACTTGTGTTTCATATGCCAGGTTGAACAGGTTTGTGTGAAACTTTTGCTCGCAAATATAATTATTATACATATTATCTCGATTTAATTTTAAGAGTATGAGAGGATATTCTTCTTTAACAATACGAATTTCCCTAGACGTTAGAAACGAAAAAGGATAGTCTGATTCAAGGAAAAGATAAAAGTTTCTTCGTCGATTTCGCAACATACTATCTGTGGACATCTACAGAAATCGTCAGGATCTGTGCAACATCGATGTTAATCCTGATTCGCACATGAACAAGTGCCCTGTTCTTAACCCTGAGAGTCTCGGAAAATATCTCTATAGCAAGCTAGGTAGATATCACAAAACGTGTCGTTTGAGGTACAGCAACTCGAGGGTGAAACAATTGAAGGGTAAATTATCTGAAGCTGTAAGTTTAAAACCTGTCTCTAAAAACCTGTTTTAAAATGGAAAGACACGTGTCCACGCACGACAACACCAATGCTGCATTAATGAGTGCAGGTATTGACGCTGTACGGACCTTTTAACTGGAGCAGGAGAATGTTTTACCAGAACTGTACCTCGTGTCTGACCTGAAGCTTAAGTACAATGACTATGTGACGTCTAATTTATCTGAGAACGCTGCAAACTCCAGCAATGTTTAATCTGATCACATCAGTTTTCAGAAAGACAATGTCGGTAAGACGAGTTTGTATCTAATCTTGCCGCAACAATAGATTCGGATAGAGATGATAACACTTTAACAAAGACAGCACTCATAACGGAGATTAGAAAAGAAATCTTTCAATGTAGAAACGAATTCTATCAGCTATCGTTCCGTAAGACGATTTATCTTCAAAAACATGTTCGATTTACCGATCGGTGGCATCTGTAGAAATATAGTGTTTATGTGGATTAATCTGTTAAAGCAGGGCTATTGTATCATTTTAACATTAACTTTGCATAGTGATGATACGTTTATTGTGTCTCTTGTGATTATCTATTTTCTACAGTGTTACGGTACCACGAGGTTTCTGGCGCAGTGACGCGCTTTTGAGCAAATATCGTGCTAGATACGTCACGCGCCGCAACCGAATCAGATTTAAGTGCACTTTTTTCATTGTAAACACTACATACGACGCGCAACACGTTCTACGTGGTCGAAATTTTCGAGGTCTCTAACACCGGAATGGAGCAATATTTAGACGATCTGACACTTTCTGGGGCTTAAGCAACCTAAGAGAAATTAGGGGAACAACTCAGAAAAAATTTTTAGTCGATATTCCGGTGTCTGTAGATGTCCGAAGTTTTGGCAGTAAAGTGCTCACAACACAGCTTCTGAAGGCTCTAGAAGGTTCCCGATACCGTCAGAGTGTTCAGTACACTCCATTCTATCATATAAGAACCCTAAAAGAAGTCCCAGGGCTCGAGCAAAAAAGCGTGATATTTGCCCGTAACAGCCTCTACTAATTAGAGTTAGGAACTAAACTTGGGCATAAAAATGTCCAGAATCATCACATTGAGTGGGATAGAACGTAGTTTCAAAGTCCTCAGACGTCAGGTTGTTGAGTTATTAGGCGGAACCCTATTTTTATGCTCTCGCGAGTCGCGAGTCAACACTTAAAATCAAGATAACTCGGCTTCTGATTAGAGTTAGGAACAAAACTTGGGCATGGAAATGTTCAGAATTATCATATTAAGTGGGGTAGAACGTGGTTTCAAAGTTCTCAGGCGTCAGGTTGTTGAGTTATTAGGCGGAACCCTATTTTTATGCTCTCGCGAGTCGCGAGTCGACACTTAAAATCAAAATAACTCGGTTTCTGAGTAGAATTAGGAACAAAACTTGGGCATAAAAATGTTCAGAATCATCACATTGAGTGGGATAGAACGTAGTTTCAAAGTCATCAGACGTCAGGTTGTTGAGTTATTAGGCCCACACCATAATATTTACTCTCTCGCAAGTCGCGAGTCGACACTTAAAATCAAAATAACTCGGCTTCTGATTAGAGTTAGGAACTAAACTTGGGCATAAAAATGTTCACAATTCTGGACATTTCTATGCCCAAGTTTAATTCCTAACTCTAATCCGGAGCAGAGTTATTTTGATTTTAAGCATAGAATCACTACTTGCGAGAACGTAAAAATAGGGTTCCGTCGAATAACTTAACAACCTGACGTCTGAAGACTTTGAAACCAAGTTCTACCCCACTTAATGTGATAATTCTGAACATTTCCATGCCCAAGTTTTGTTCCTAACTCTAATCAGGAACCGAGTTATCTTGATTTTAAGTGTTGACTCGCGAGAGCGTAAAAATAGGGTTCCGCCTAATAACTCAACAACCTGACGTCTGAGGACTTTGAAACTACGTTCTATCCCACTCAATGTGATGATTCTGAACATTTTTATGCCCAAGTTTAGTTCCTAACTCTAATCAGAAGCCGAGTTATTTTGATTTTAAGTGTCAACTCGCGACTCGCGAGAGCATAAAAATAGGGTTCCGCCTAATAACTCAACAACCTGACGCCTGAGAACTTTGAAACCACGTTCTACCCCACTTAATGTGATGATTCTGAACATTTTTATGCCCAAGTTTAGTTCCTAACTCTAATCAGAAGCCGAGTTATTTTGATTTTAAGTGTCAACTCGCGACTTGAGAGAGAGTAAATATTATTGTGTGGGCCTAATAACTCAACAACCTGACGCCTGAGAACTTTGAAACCACGTTCTACCCCACTTAATGTGATGATTCTGAACGTTTTTATGCCCAAGTTTAGTTCCTAACTCTAATCAGAAGCCGAGTTATTTTGATTTTAAGTGTCGACTCGCGACTCGCGAGAGCGTAAATATTATGGTGTGGGCCTAATAACTCAACAACCTGACGTCTGAGGACTTTGAAACTACGTTCTACCCCACTCAATGTGATGATTGTGAACATTTTGCTGCCCGAGTTTTGCTCCTAACTTCAATTGGAGGCTGAGTTATTTTGATTTTAAGCGCTGCAATCGCTACCCGCAAGAGCGTAAAAACAGGTTGGGGCCTAATAACTCAACAACCTGACATCTGAGGACTTTGAAATTGTGGTCTACCCTACTCAATGTGATGATTCTGAACATTTTAATGCCCAGGATGAGCACGTAGCTCAATCAGAAGCCGAGATATCTCGTATTTAGTGTGAAAATCACGACTCGCGAGGGTAAATAAGGGTGTGGTCACATAACTCAACAACCCGATGTCTGTTGACTTTAAAATTATGCTCTACCCCCCTAAATGTGATGATTCTGAACAACTTCAAAGCCAAGCTGAGCTTCTAATTCCAATTAGAAGCGAAGTTATTTTGATTCTAAAGTTGCAAAAGCGCCAAAAAAGGGCGTGGTCAATTGCGCAAAACTGCCCCATAGCCAAAATTTCTACCCAAGCCAAATTTGTTTCTAATGGGTCCCTTGAGGTATTCCAAGTCTCAAACCCCGGGGCGGAAGTTATATAGACGGGAATGTCGTCAGATCCTTGACTATACAGAATAAACAAAAAATTTAACAACATATATTATTTCAGCTTACGATTGAAATCTACAAATTAAATGTACTAGCTGGAAAAGTGCAAGCCCGTTAAATATAGTCACAACTCACACAGATTGGGGAAGTTCATAAGTTAAGTCACTTTAAGGTCAAAAAATAAAAAAATAATTAGCTCCATCAATATTTCTGTTTAAGATTAAAATTCTATTATAAATTATTAATCAATTACAATATATTATATATATATACTAATTTTAAATAAATCAGCCTGTAGGATACTCCAACTCCCCATGACCGAACCTAGGTAAACTTCCCTCACACAACCTCTCAAACCAGAGAGTAACCCTATCCTGCAGGTTAACTAACGAGGAGTTAGAACATGTGTTGATTGGGGTAAAGAAGTTGAAATATTTCTTATTAAAGTTCACCGCAATCACCGAACCCTGGATCAGCCTACACCCTGCCAGCTCAGCAAACAAAAACAACCAAGATTCGTATTTGTCATGAGAGACAAAAGCGACGGACTGAGGGCCTCTTATACACAACTCTTTTAGTTTAGCCGATACAACTCTAACGGGTAGAGGGACCGAACTTCCATCCTTAAGGTCCCCCACAACGAGCAATGTCATCTGTGATTTATCTGAGGGGAGGAGTTTGCTAGCTGTTAGAGCAGTCAGCTCGGGCAAATCCACAAAGTTAGGTGTGTTTTCTTGGAAGGTTTGCTGCTCAGCGCTCTGTTGTTGACCTCCATTGCGCTGACGGCGCTGCGCTTCCTCTGGATCATTGTTTATCAGGAAGGTGACACAGAAGAGTGTTATTATAGATATTACTGATAACCAGGTGTTGAGGCTGATCAGATGTATTTGTCCAATAGTACTCTCAATAGAGAATGATATGAACTCCATAACATTGTCCAGGAGTGAAGGAGCATGTTCGTTGATAATGGCGCCTAGTTTTACTCGATCTCCTCCCAATTTGGCTTCACCCTCTCTTAAGTTTATGTAAAGTGAGGCTACATCAGACAGATCCCATCTGGGGAGCCACAAAACGTGAGCGTGGGTGTTTGATGTTCGTTTTAGAAGCAGAACATTGTTCAGAGGATACGGTGGGAAGAACGATTCTATGAATTCAAATTGGGCATCACGGTATAAGAAAGAGAATTGCATGTTTCGTTTGAATTGAAGCTCTCCAGTTTGAATCAGCAATCTGGTTGACTTGTACTCTTCTTTTGAAGCAAACACAAATATCACACATGGTTGATCAACAGACCGAGAACATATCTCATCAAATGTTTTCGGAGAGCTTATTTTGGGTAAAATCAACTTCTTTTCGGCCTCAAGAATCTGCAGTAACTGCCCAATAGAATCTACATTGTCCTTCCTACTTATCGCAGGGTAAACCTCCTTAAATATAATGACTCCCATTTTACTTGGTGAGGGTAGAATCTGTAGAATGTTCTTTGTAGACTCGTCATCAGTTGAGCTGAAGCCATACTTGTAGTAATCCTTAAACTTGAACGCAGCCATTGCTTGGGGAAAAGAGAATGTCTTGGAGACAAATATTACCTTAGCTTTATAGTCTGTGAAATCACCAACAAAGGTGTCAACTTTCCTGTCGTTCACTTGATCCATAACCAGAACAGACTGAACTTTAGATAATATGAATCTCTCAAGGTTTGTGAAAGTAAGAGAAAGGGTGAAATGATAAACCCGTCCTGATACGATTATCAAAAATGATGGAGTTTCATAGACTGATATCTTCTGCTTCATATTTGAGGAGTCATAGGGTAACTCCCAGAATTTCATACCATAGGGTTTGAAATGGTTCATGACATCAGGCCACGCTCGATCATACTCCATACAGAGGAAACACCACCGAGATGTAACTTTAACGAGATGAATTGACATGTAACTGTCTGGAAGAACTTCCTGTTCAAACCGCTTAACTGTTAATATGGGAGAATCCTTGTGTGGTTCCTTCTTCCGAAAGTTGTTAAAGCTGTTAAATCCACGGCCACCCCCAAACTCATTTCCTCCGCTGAACGTGTACCGCTGACCGTTGAAGTAGAACTCTTGTCTGGATCCACCCTGTCTACTTTGCTGTTGTTTGGGCTGGTTTTGTTCTTTTGTCAGCGATTCATACGCAGCAGCCACTTCAGTAAACTTTCTTTCAGCATCAGGATCACTACTTACATCAGGGTGATATTTCTTGGCAAGCTTTCGGTACGCTTTCTGAATTTCTGATTTGGAGGCTGATCTAGAAACACCCAGAACGTGATAAGGGTTACTTTGTGAACTACTGATGTGGAGTATTATACAGATAATTGTTAGAATCCAAAGAGTCCACCTCATCCTAAATCTGCTATATCTGAGATCATGAATGTTAAGACTGATAGTTGTGATTACTATCAGTGCTAAAAAATACCTGGTTCAAGAAAACAAAGAGCAAGATAAAACCATAGTTGTCACAATGACCGATGGGCAGTTTTTAATGATATTGTCCAGTTCTCTGTTAACTTAAAAAGTTCACAGACTTCGAATTGAGGAAAAGTACAGCACTTATATAAATATATACTTAAGTAAATATTGTGACAACTATGATTTTACTTTTTCTGAAAGGTACACCTGCAATAAACCGAATGACATTTACTTTCGGTGTACATGTCAAAATTAAATAATTATACTGAAATATCTAAATCAGAATTATATGAATTATAATTGAAATTAAATTAAAATAATTGACGGCAACAATCGACGGCTTCAAAATGTATAACATTATCAAACACAACAATGTACCAAGCTTCAATTGGAGCAGAGCGACAACAAAACTAAAACTAAAATATGTATTTAATTGCACAATGACTATCAATATATTAACTATTATTAACTGGGACTAATATAATGTCGGAGGGCGTGAGTGACAACTTACATTTAGTCTTGGGGTTTCCAAAGTGCTCTTGTAATAACTTTGTCACTGTAGACTGAAAATATGATGATATTAGTGGTCAACAAGCAATGATTACTGATTAAAAGTGTACAATATCATGTGATTTGTATACTAGCTGTGAACAAATAAATAAAAGTCAGACAGCAGTGCAGGTTTTTCAAATAAATCAGAAACATGAAAAATACCTTACCTCTTTAAAGAGGGCCTTGGTGTTATTGGAATCCATTGGCCATACCTACAGGGAAGATTGAATGTTAGGAATAAATAATTGATTCGATTAGGTTAATTAACACACTCCTATTAAGTCAATTATTACAACTGTACATTATTAGGTTAATTACATGGAAATAGTACCACAGTTAGTGTATATAATGTGCTAAGAAGAGTATCAGCTTTCTAACTTCCAATTAACAAAACATATCACAATGATACCACCAATTTGCTAACTGAACTCCCCTGCTCAGGGCTCCCTTAAAAAGCACGATTACATTATTATTAAACCTTCGGCCCAGAAAACGTAGTTGCAAGATTTGGGATACTGAGATTATTAGCCACAAATTTGCTGCTAGTATGTCTAGCCTATAGGTTTAAATGTTAGGATTTACATTTCATAAAATTATTATTATTAAATCTAAAACAGCTAATAATTCTACTAATTATCAAGGTCTGTGCCAGCCCCCGGGCTGCAGTCACATTAGCAGAGTGAAATCTAGTAAACCAAGATTGCACTTCATGACCTGCTTGGGTGGCCAAGTCAGAACAACTGCCAATTTGGTCGGCCTGGACAGTAATTTGTAACTTGATCTTGGTTTTCTTTGATCATTATGCACTTGTGAGTTGCGTTGGTGGTCAGCTTTCCAGCGAGAATAAAACTCTGTGACACCCCTTACTCAATCAAACAAGAAATTTCAATAAAACAAGAAATTTAATTTTAGCACATTTTACAGAATCTACAAATTTACAACAATGAAAATATAATGCGCATTTGGTTTATGACGTTCTGTCTTTAACTGCTAATTGGGTTGTAAACGGACAGGCAACGGGGCAAGGAATGTGAGGGCCTGGAAGTTTTTGCACACACCAAAACGTTAGTCCAGATGAGTTTTCGGAGACAAGGCTCTTACTTAGACCAGATACAAATTGTTGGGAGAAATAAAGTGTTGTTACTAGGCTAGGGATTGCAGTCTTGTTGTGACAGAAACTCTACACTCTATTATTGATTATGCTTTTTATGTTGTGCAAATCAAGAAAATAAAATGCCACTTGAAGGCGAATATTATCTATTGGTGGGCTGGCGAAAAATTATGGGCTTTGCATTAATGGTTATAATAGTTTACTAGATAGGCTCTGCAAACAAATTCAATTTTGACCAAGGCAAGGACAAGCTTCTAAGAACTCGTTAATGCAGCTTCAGGTAAAGAAGTTGGTGATAGCGCTCGATTCATACAATTTTATTGTAATGAAAATTACAGAAATGCGCGTGACGCGACGCACTTGATTCAAAATATCGTTTTATTTTAATAACAATGCTTCATACGCTTGGTTGTTTGAAATTGTCAAGAAAAAATTGTTTTTATGTTCTAGCTGACCATCAAAAATTAACACCATTGCGCATATCTCATTTTTGCACGATTTCGACTTTTGCAGAAGTTCAGACTTAAGCATTAAGACTTTATTGTTATACTCATAGGTTGTATGGCCCGAGTGCGCGGCTTCTCCTGTATCGTTTGCGTTCCCAGCAATCCTTACTGGCTAGCGATATTACTACAGGGTGATCGCCTTTTCACAGCATGTTGAACTCCGCGCGCGCTCGCTAGTTCATTGCATTTGCACGCTTCAAATATTCCAGGAATGCAATTGTACCGCGTACCACGTGATACGATTCAGCCAATCAGAGAACAACAATCTGCAAAGTTAAAGCTACGCAGTTTTATAAGGCCTAAAATATGACTTTTCGCGATAATTCAAAATCTACGTTGTTTTCAATTTTCCCCTGGGGGGAAACGTTATTTTTGCGAAACGAACATTTTGCAAAAAACCGGAAGACGCTATCTCTTTTACTTTCAAAGTTAGGCTCCAGCCAGTAAGGTTTCTTGGGTTGAAACTATTCTATAGTGAAACGACAATGAGGGTCACTACTTGATAGATAGTGGGGCCTGCGGTCCCACTCCCAGGTCATTGGGGATCAGCGTTCGAAAATGCATTTCATGTAGCAAGTAATTGTTTACTTGGGGACCTCAGGCTATTATGTTTATAATAGAAATTAGGCGGAATGACAGGCTGAGCGCGGCCCAGTAATAGAGCTGATTAGGCGGAATGACAGGCTGAGCGCGGCCCAGTAAGTAATAATTGTAGGTTTACAACCTACGAAGACGTGGGCCGATTTGGATAGGAATCGTTGACGGTCTTGGAACAATATGAACATAATATTTGGAACAAATATTTTATCTGAAAGAAGCTGGAAAGGATTGACTAACAACTAGAATTATTATAATAGTACTATAGTATTGGTTGTATCACGTCGTGACCTTCACATACAACATAGCCATGTGTATACGCGCACTGCGTGACGCGCTTGTTTCACGGCGGTCGCGCGCTACTGCAAGCGAGAGGGCTCTGGTTAGAGCAAGTCGTTACCCCCACGGTCGTTTCACTAGGTCCCCCTTTATCGTCCTGACGATACAGGCGGGTCATACAACGTATGACAAAGTATTGGGTAGAATTTCTGCAAGACATTGTATAAGATTTATAAAGTAGCCAATTTCCAAATCTCGACAATTTTTTATTTGTCAAAATTTGATTCAATTTTAAACAATAATGATAGATTTTGAGTTTGCAATTATAAAAATCAATTTTAATTAAATAGTTTTGCCATACTTCAATGTTCAACATTACTACAAACTAACAATTTTTAATTATATCAGGAAAATGTCCTGGAATTAAGTCCAATCTAACAATTCTCAAACAACTTAGTATAACAAAAAGGAATATAAAATGCGTGCAATATAAAACAAGCTTCTCCATTTTGTGCTTAAAATAGAATCTATTCTTAACCATTTATAACTTAACATTTTCAAAAATCTTTGAGTAAATTTCGTGCAAAATTATTGTCAAGAACAATTTTAAAGTAAACCACTAAAATTCTTTAGTCGATGTTGGCCTCAACATCTTCGTAAACCTCTTGGTACATTCGGCTCAGATCACACAATTGCGTCGTCAGTTTACCGTGAAGTTCGTGCATTTCAAATATTCCTTCTTGTAGTTTATCAATGGTATTTTTTATCCTTTTTAGATCATCGTTTCGACAACCTGGTCCTAATTTGTCTATCCAGTTCTTGGTTGCACTCTTTTGAGTGTTTATCTTGCTGGCAATACTCAAAACATGGTTCTCAACGGTGGCGATCTGTGTGGTTATCAAAATAACCACCTGCTTGTTTATTCTTTGTTCCGGGAAGATGAACATGGAATCTAGTTTCTTCTTGATCTCAGCCCAGGGGAGCTGAACACAGTCACTGCTACTTGACGAAGAGGCCGTGTTGTAATACTTGACACATGACTGGGAAACTTGAGCTTGAACAAGGTTGCTAAGAGTGGTTTTAGTTTTCAGGAAGTAAGCTCTGTTGATTTTATTCAGAGTTTCTTTTCCGAATTCGTCGAATTGTTCGTCGCCCATAACTTCTGTAGCGCCGACGATTAGAATCACGGACAAGTAAGACTTAACTCTTGCAAAAACGGAATTCATTCGAACAAGAATTGTGTCCAGATCCTGACACTGGCCGGCTTTCATTGCGGATAGTCTTAAGACTTCGGACAAGTCTACAACACATGTTACAGCGGTCCAGTCCGAGGCTACCACTTCATCATAACCCTTTATCGCTGACATGGACTCTAAACTTGCTAGCAATGAACTAGAAGAGTTGGTGTTCACGTCAACTATAGCTGTGGTCGCAGGGTCTACATCTGCAAGATTCGTGATGTCTGTTTCTAAGATGTTGCTAATCAAGGTGGTGAGTGGCACAGTTTCGTGACCGACTCTCCGGGTTACCAAGTGTAGAACTGGTTTTACTCCGTACATAATATTTTGATGGTCATCTCCACCATCTACCTCATCTCCCCCATTTAGCTCGGAGCTATGATCTTTGTTAGATAGTTTACTGATAGCCGAAACAAAATCCTCAATTTCCACAGTTTTTCTCCCGTCGAGAAGCGCTTCAACACGTGTTAAATTCTTGCCAAGTCCACAATTACCTGTACCACTGACATTCTCCCTGTCCATAGACCAAATACCGATCAGAGTCTGTTTTACGCGCTGAAGAGCTACGTGAAATTCCTTGTCCTTCTTAATCTTTACCTTATCTGCTTTATTTTGACTGGCCCACCAAGTAGTAAGTTCGTTGGAAAATAGTAGGTTACCTTTTTCTGCGTCAGAAAGTGTAGCAAACTGGGGTAGCTTTTCGCATTCCGATTTTGATATGTTCGGAAATACAGTGAATTGACGGATGGTCGGCATTTTGAAACGGAATGTCTTGATAATAATCGGAGTGCCAATTTCGACACCTTTGCTCTTAGTCCTGCCGACTCTTTAAAATTCTCCAGAAACAAATCACCAGCACCATCACCGTCCAAACTCATGGATCTAACATCAAGAATAACCACATGATTTTCTCCAATGGCAACGAAATCACAGCCTCCCTCGACCTCCGTATCGGTCTTATCACATTCGTGATTCACGTACAATCCAAACTCCTGGTGAGTAAACTCGAAGCCTTGCAGAACTACGAGATCTTCTGGAAGGTTCGCTAGGGCTCGATACACCGTAGCCTCGCACTGATATCGAGATACCGCATCTTCCTTGTCACTGCATAGCTTGTCCCGAAGTTTGGCAGGAAGTTGGGGGACAGGAGGGAAGAGGGTCGGGTAGCCCGGCGGGTTTCGGCAGTAAGTTTTCCAGATATCCTCGCCTTTACGCTCAATATCTCTTCGTAAATCATCTGGGGAGACAGTCACAGATGGGTAATCTAATTGATATCTGATATCAGATGCAACATGTTTATTTAATTGTCGGTATATCTCAAACCTAGTTTATGATGAATATAGATATCGGATACGAGATTGTGATAATACTGATTGGATTAGGTCTGGTATGACTCAACACCAAAATAAGATTAAATTCTCAACCTACATGTCATGGGATAGTGAGCGTTAGTCTAAGAAAATATGATAACGGACAATAACTGTTTCACTTACGAGAACTAGAGCTAGCAGTTTCAGGGGCTGCGACGTTGCTCATCACTGCCAGAGAATATCGCCTCCCTGATAGTAACAAATGTTTAATGTTGCATGTAAATTATTGAATTTGCAACATCACAAAACGTCAAACTCAAACGGCCATAGGACACATTAGAATTCGTCAACATATTTTAGAGATCAGGAAAATTTACCAATATTAATACTGGATATTTTGTTGAAAATTATAATCCTGAAAACTTGAGTCAGAAGCAACATTCATTAACGGCGGCAACATAATGTGCGATCTCGCATGCATAAATTGTTTTACGTGGGGCATGTGTGCGACAAATTTGGCGAATTGAGCGGCCGTAACTTATTAGAGGAAATCGGTGGTAAATAAATAAGAGTGTAAGTTAACCCTAGTGGTAATAAGGCTGTACTTTGACTTAGCATTAATCCCATATAAAATTTACAACATCGAGAACGTTATCAAGATGAGATAATTGGCAGGCACACATACGAGGAGATTGATGAATAGTTCTTAGATATTTGCACTGCAGGAATGTTAGCTCAGTGTTTGGCATGAATGAATGATTATAATAGCAGTTTCCAATACATCTACAGTTTGGTTATGTCCAGTGTTCGCCCATGGTCCACTATTTTATGGTCCACGTAGTATTGACAATAAGCTTCTCGAACAAAGGGGAACAACAAAGCTATTAGTGTTTCTAGCACTACTACTACTACTAGGTTAGGATTGCAATCACTCTGCAGCGTGGAAGGATGGTCGATTAAATGTTTTTGTTTTTGTGTGCGAATATGTGCGGAAAACGGCCAATAGTTTGATTTGCACTTGCCCCACTTTAATGTTGCCTCTGAGTCCGACTCCGTTGAAGTAAAAACATGCTTTCACAAAAAAAATTATAAAAACAAAACATGATTATATGTTTAGTAGTAAGGTTATAAGGTTGAATTTGAGTCAACGGTAATGGCCAACCCGATGCTTTGAAAGAATAAATAAATAAACATTCAGTGCTGAAAAAAGTGCCGAGAGAAATAAAAAACAACCTCGGAAAGTAATTGCGAAATCAGAATCCATCTAAATACTTATTTCGACCGATAAATCAAATTCAAAACACAAATTCCGTCGAAAGAATTTAACAGTTATAAAAATGGCTGGCTTAGCGAAGTATTAAACAACCACAATAAAATACAACAAAGACCAAAGTTGCGCACATGCTGACAGAATACGAAAATGCAACGTAAATTTTAAACATTTTACTGCCGGCACAAAAAATCTCCGCCATTCCTTCACACTATTGTAGCACTCTTGTAAACATGCGTTTGATTATTCCACACTTTCAGTCAAAGTACAAGCGATGTAAAACACCAAGACACGACAAAAGAATGTGGTAAATCTGAGGAATTTTCCCACTCAAACGACCGTAATTTGATAGCATAAGATTTCCTGACACAGAATGAGTTTATTAATAAATCTTATGGCTGTTATAATCAACATGGATGTGCCAAACAAGAAGTGTGAATGAAGGAAATCATAACTCAATGACTGTAAATGACATGGTCACATACTTTAATTCATACATCGGCCATGTTGTAGACATGTTATAGGCATGTTATAGACAATATTCATATTACAGATATGCTATAGACATCACTATATTATTCAGATCACTGAACAATGCCTTAAATGAGTAACTTAACACGTATTGTCAGCTACAAAACAAGAATAAAGACCACACATTGAGTCGAGTTACAAAGCCACGCTGTAAAGTGTAACGATTACCAAGGCAGAGAATACAACAAGGCAGAGAATACAACACCTGTGTTTTATTTCAACACGACTTACTTAGCCTCTCCTTTTTATCAGGAGCACCACTTTTGGAAACTTTTGGTCTTAGTATCACCGCTGGAGGAGAGGGTTTTTCAGCCTGTGGAGAGGCTGGTTTTTCTTTGGAGGAACCGGCTTTGGTTTTGGAGACAGCGGCTTTGGAGGCGTCTCAGGGGGTGCTTTACGAGAAATTGAAAGAGACACCATAGATTTTGAAGACAGCAACGGTTTTGGAGACAGTCTTGGTTTAGGGGAGAGTGGAGACTCAGGTTTCAGAGGTGAATCAGGCTTAGGAGACAGCTTAGGCAGTGGTAGCAGCTTTGGTTTTGGAGACACACTCATGGTCGGTTTAGACGGCATTGTCACCCGCCTCTCTGGCATGGTAGCCATGAGTAACAGGCAGGTTGGTAGCCAGTAACTTTAGGGTAGGGTTTAAATAATTAATTTAGATAAATAAATACTAGTCTGTTAAAGTGATGACGACATGTTTAAACATCGGAACTAAAATATAACGTAAAGAGAACAATGATCAAACTCTGGCAACTGGCAAGTCATATCTATAGGATTTTTTGGAACATTAACAAATGAGGTCACAAAGCTTCTTACTATTCACCGTGAGAAATGACTAATGTCAATTCTATTATATAATTACGAGACTTACAACACCTGGTGAGTCATATGACATTGGATTGTAATTATACAAAACTGAAACATAAACCATCGTTGGGCCATTTTGTTGAAGTTTTCTGACTGAGGAGGAGCCAAATTGTCGTGCAAGAATGGGCACATGGTGAGGTAAAAACTGATAAAATACTGGGCACAACAATTAAAAAAGGCGGTTTTCATCTAATGTCTGTATTTCAACATTTACTCCAAGAAATAAAAAAGGAAAAAGTAAACATCACAACCCGTGAGATGTTAAGAGATCACAGCTTGCATGCAATCCGTGAAACTTTAATGAAATCTAGTACCTAGTCAGCTATATTACAAAAAGCAAAATGTGTGGAATGCTTCACAAGTAGGGGCAGGGCCACCAGTAATCATTAATCGAGTGTAGCACTCGGAGATGGTCACGATACAGCCGGAGAAGTGATGCACGATATGTCTGAGATCATATTGCTGAACACAGCTCCCAGCTGTTGCCTGGTTCACGAATATGTTAATACGATCTTTAAGTTGGCTTTACCGTGTACCTGAATTTGATTAAATTGTTTTGTGACCGATAATCACAGCGGGTAGAATTACAAAGGTTTTTGGTGGTTCATTTTATTATGAGAGAGACAATAAAACTCAAAGTTGCGGGTGTGGCAAAGCTATTAACTAATATCGATGGGAGATCTGACAAAATGAGTAATCGGACAAAGCAAAGGATTTATAACACCGCCCAAGCCGAGCCTTAGCCTCATTACGGGTAATAAGATTTAAGGGGTAAAGCTGTGATACCAACTCACGCTCTGATACCAAGTCACGCATTCGAACTTAAAATCACATACTTACTGGCGGCGCGGAATGAACAAAATTACATCGAGAGCAGAGAGGAATGAATAAATATTCCAAATATTACCAGTCAAAGTGGATGAAATATAAACGTGAGCTATGACCTAATGTAAGTTAAATGTAACATCATTCCATGATATTGATAAATATTCGATTTGTTGTACCATTGTGCAAAGTATCGTTTACACACAGAAGGTCACAGCTTCAAAGGAATGGAAAGAATCCGGGAACCACTTATAAAAATGCAGAATAAAATAACTCGGTTTATGGAGAGATAAGAAGGTATGTAAAGAGCTGATAAAACATGTCATGGCTCTAAATGGGGGAAATGTCGGTCTTACATTTCAACCCAAGTACTTCTTATCAGATTGCTAACCAAATCTTCTGTCAACAGAATAATCCCGAATATACTGGCACATTTTACATGTAATATTCAGACAACTTCTCGATACCCTAACAACAAAATGTTTAAAAACTCCGAATAAAAATTCTGATAACAGGCAAATGCTCGAGTGTTGATTTAATGTACCCAATGTAAGAGAAATCACGAAGAGGCCCGTGAACCTACGAAATGAAAGTTCAATCGTCCGTCTTTTGCTTTTTACGTAAGTTTTTAGCTCTTCGTTTTTTGAAGCCAACGCTTGGTTTGGGGTCTGATTCCACGTCTAGGGATTGGATCACAGCGCAGGTCTTCACTTCGTACGCTTTTTCCTTGACTTCATAACTTTCTGTCTCTGGTAACTCACCTGAATTAAGGGCCCGGATAATAACATTTATAGTTGTAACTAAATAACTAGTTACAAGCAAGTTCTATTTATAGAATATACCTGCTCTTTCCTCATCAGTACTAAAAAGTACCAGTTCACATCTCATTGGCCAACTAACATCCACTACATGTACTACAATAAGCATCCTTGAAGTGATCGAAGCTTATAATTCTATCATGAGCGATCACTTACTCGGGTCTATGTCCTCATCAGGAGCAATGTATGAGGGCAATGTTTCCCAGACTCCTAACCCTGTGTCGGGGGCTAAGTTCTTCTCTTCTTCCTCTTCCTCTAAAAATAAAATTGTGAGTTATAAGTTGTTTAAGCTTTTAAGAGTGACGTGACTCTGAATAAGGGGTCACAAATTTAGTGACCTGTGAATGTGATCCGTTATCATTTTATTAACCACCGAGGAAAGACACAGCACAATAGTGTATTTCTACAATACACACATCAAGATAAGTTAAGGGAATCCCGTGTGAAAATAAACGATACTCATTAGATGTCGTCATACTAAGTAAGCTCAGATTGGATGAATCTAAATTTACCTTCCGGTTCTTTTGTTGCGTAGAGAATCTTGTTAACCTCTGACACATCTTTATCATCTGACCTGAGATTGGTGATGTTAGAGGTCACTGATTAGTAAGCAACATGAGATAATTCATCAACCAAATGTGCCACACACGTATCACTCGCTCAGTGCCACTCCCTTCCGGTTTCTTTGTTTTGCCCTTTCTGTGCACGACAAGAAATCGTAGAGCCGCGCAGCTATCCGATGCCGTATTACAATAATTCTATCATCGCGCGATACATATTTCAGAGGTTGCCAATGTTCGTCGCAGCATTTGCTCCCTCACCACAAACCTCAAAAATTGCTGGCAACCGGTTAAACCTCAAACTCAACGCCACCGCTTAGAACTTTAAGAATCGCCGTAATTTACACCAGCCAAGAAACCATACAATTAAAGTGTGAGCCACAGCTATTCTGGCGCTATTCCAAATTTCCAGGAGAAGTCTCAAAGGTACAGCAGACAAACCTTCCGCCAGACAAGCTAGAGGAATTCGTCAACTCGTCCACACCAACTTGATCCTTCATAACTGCTAGTCTGGCCTTCTTTTCGATAGCCACTAACGCTTCAGCTAGATCGTCTCTCTCCTTCATGACGGCGGCGCCTCTCTTCCTTGCTTCTTTGAGTTGGATCTGGGCAGGGCATTGGTTCACAACCAATTTTTAGCAAATTTGCTATTACTTTATTCTCATTTCAACACTTACAGTAATGAAAGCGGGCATGGTATGAACAAGATAAATTTGGCGAAATCTCACCGATATTTAAAGAGCGGTAAGAGACAACTCACGGCAACGGCTTCCTTGTGTTTCTTGCCCCCTTCATGGAACTCCCTGCTGATCTTGTTGTCTGCAATCCAGCATTTACATTGGGGACAAAACTTGCGGGGCTGCGACTTCCAGTACTCAGACATTATGAGCTAAACAATTATAACTGTACACTTTTAAGAGTTTGTGTACTTGCATTTAAATTGTTAGATTTGGTCTGATGTGTTTTTGTGTGGTCGGCGGTTACATGCACAAGAAGTTCAGTAGAGCATCGCAGAAATTTTAAATTATTTGATAGTACAGAAATTTAACGATGTTTTAAGAATAGACAGTAATTTTGTTAGTGAAGTATAATTTTTAGTGAAAATAATACAGCCATCTCACTGATAAACTTTATATCATTGAAAACAAATCAATAATAATAATAATACAATGTTACTCAACAAAGTTGAGCTCTATAAAACAACGATGAATCTTGAATGAAGATCAGCTCATGTGAATAATAAGTGATCACAATATCCTTAAAATGGATTGGAAATGAATTTAAAATCTTGAAACATATTTTGCTTGTTACATTCCAATGATAAGACCTGTTAGGGGACGGTGAATATTTCAGTTTTCTTTAAAATGAGAGATTTGTCATTAAAAAAAAACTAATTACAACGCTACAAATCTATTACATTTATTGAGTATTATGTAACGCGATAGAAATATTTTAAGCGGGTAATATCCTGTCCAAACCCAGGATACATAACATGAAGACTTTGCTGTAACTTTGTATGAAAAGCATTAATACGAATGGTTGTGGCTATATATGGTGATTGGTGAAAGGTATGTCCCTCTTAACGTATATCTAACAGTACAGTGACTAAGTTATATAAGGATATAGTATACTGACTTTCTATCAAACAACGCACGTTTATACAAAACTCAAACAATATAAGATAATATTATAGTACACACGTATCTATCTATTTGCAATCATCTCCTTTTTCACCTTTTTCAACATTTCCATGAACTTGAAATGATGTCTTGATAACACAATTATCAAGCTGTGTTTTAAATTTTACCAGCAAAGTTGCTTAAATTAACATATTAGAAATTACAAAATTGAGGCTGACTCACTATTCAGTGTTCAGTGTTTTTGTAAAAACTATCTTATAAATAAGAGATGATTGCACGAGTAATATCGAAATTCCTCCCAAGCATTAGATTGCCTAAAAGCTGAATAGTTCATTTAATAGAACAGAAACCCCAAACATATTTAAATATATAGTGAAGTATCTTGCTGATTTGCCAATATGAGTTAAGTTTAAAGATTACTATAACAGTACTTATAACATTATGACTTCTATCACAAAATGGCTTCATGTCTCCATGCATGGAGAATGCAGTGCTTCAGGAAGTCTAGAAATATGAAGCCAAGTCGATAAATCCCGTGAAATGGTGGCCAAGAACAATGAAGGAACGCAGAATTTTTCGCAGATATGTTTGGAATTTCTCCGCCTTTTATTTATGTATCTTACATCTTACATCTTTTCTAGCTCTTGTTACTCTGTGACCATGAGAAAATATGAAAACACTTTACAAAATATAAACACAGTCTCCTTGGCAAACTGCCAGCTATTTGATGACTGGACCCAATCTCACTTTTCTGTGACGTAATTATCCAATTAATTACGTAATTATGACGTCATAATATGCGTTGTCCCGGCGTCAGTCAACTGCTAAGATCTGATCTTGTCGTACTTTTTCCAGTATCAACACCTGTCGAATAAGAGTAATTGAATCAGCTCAGGAATCCTGTATCACCACCAACTCCCCCACCCCCCGTACAGCAAAGCTTTTCAGACACTCATTCCACTATTTACAGAATGCGACGTAATTAAGTATAATAAACTTAGAGTAAGGAGTATATGATTTTATTCAATGAAACAAAAGAACGTAGAAAGATATTTTGATGTCTATAAATGTAATTAAAATGACTTACATATTCTAACATGGGGCTTCTTTCACAGGGGAGTCTCCGCAGAATCCAATTCAGCCCAATCTGAAGATATAATTATGAATTCATAATAATTCACAATAATTGAAGTTTTGTTAAGTTGCAAGCCATGCCACAGGTAAGTGTAATAGACAACTTCACACATTTGATCAGGGTTCGCGGCAGAGGTCTGATGCAAGCTGGTCAGTCTCTCAAGCTGTCATAAGTACAGGATTTGTTGATCATGTACTCAGATCACACAAGTAACGCTGGTCTCATGCTCTACCAGATTAATGTGAAAATATCACCCAGCTTGATCAATACTTATTAGTTATCAGGTCCCTAATAAAACTGTCACCTACAGTAAACCTCCACTAGCCTGATTTTAGACTGACTTATGAGTAGTATTGTTTTAATACCCATATCATTTCTATCAAACACATAATTTCTGACTGAATACGGGACTAGACAGAAGTCAAACTTGTGTCACTAGCCCAGGAAAAAATCAACATTCTTTGAATCTTGTAACCAGCTCGATCAGAAAAGAGTCAACATGTAAAGAGGATTATTTTAAAAGTTGACCACATTATAATATTACCTTATATTATATATTATATTATATTATAATATTACCACATTATAATATTACCTTATTATATAATATTACCACATTATAATATTACCTTATTATACACTCTAGTGTTTTCCCAATCTAATATCTTCTTCATCTGACGTTTAGCCTGGAATAAGTGTGTGGACAGTGTGATCACTGTGAGTATAAGTTATTCCAATATTAGTAACTGGGCAACGCTTGGCGGAATTGGAGACATGATGAACTCCGAGCCAGATACAAGATAGCACGCAATGATCATAATATAATAGGCATGAATCCAGAATATGAAATTGGTATATTATTTTAAAATATTAAAATGAAACAAGGTCAATAAAAGTTTAATATACATTACAACGAAAATGTTGGAGACTGCAAAATACCTGTTTAAAACCACACAGAAATCAAGAAATGTAAGCACATACCTTATTGTTGAGGAGTAGTGGAGGTATCATTGTCATACCACATGAGCAACAACAACACAGACACCCTGGAATACAGGTCATAATGGGTAAAATTCTATTGGTTTAAACCAGTCGAGGTATGTTACTGATAATGACCTTTTAAAATGTTTTTTTAAAAACAACACCTCAATGCGGCGTTCAATAGCTTTAACCTATCCTGTTTGGTCTTTGGCCAAGAAAATTCGATAACATACGGTTTTAAAGATTTATCGTTGTATTTTATATATTAGTATTACCAATATATTTCTGAAAAATATGAAATATATTCTAGTACTGAAATATCAAGATAATTTCCAACCAGCACAAAAATCTCACCTAAAATGAGAGCTTTCCAAGTGAAGTCTATATTCTTCCGTAGTTCTTTGTTGATCTTGTTGATGGTTTCTGCGAATTCTTCTGGAGCTACTTTAGCAGTCAGTTGTGAGGGGTAGGAAGTATTGTACTTGTTACACAGACCAAATCTGGGGAAGAAGAACGTGTTATATAATTTAGTTTTTATCAGTATAATCGAGTAATAATAGTAATGCTGCTTTTTGTAATAACAATACTTACTGCAATTTCTATCGAAAATGTAACGTAGAAGTTGTGATGATTAAGAGGAAATTGAGGCAGCTGCTTTTAATCCTGACGGCATAAAACTCAAAAGTCTCATTTCTAAGTAAAAAGCACCAATAGTGTACATCATTAACACCCTAAAAACCAATTTTATAGTTTTATCAACAGCTGATTTTTTGGAAACATGCCAAAGTCGTGTTTTTATCGTGATACGAAGGAGAGCAAGCTGTTATTACTTTATTACCACCTGGTGACAATAACAGAACAACCTGTCTAGCAGCTCTTATTTCAAGTCAACCAGAACACAATTTTAATTAGATATTAATGAAATTGTGTTTTCTGAGGAAAAACAAAATATTTACTTGGCTAAATACATGGCTAGATAAAAGTTTAATATATCTGTTGCGGACTGGAATAATCGGGTGATATTTTGTATCTGAACATGTTTAGAAAAGTGTTGGGGCAGTATCCAAGAAGCCCGACCCTCTCCGGGGACTACTTATCACATGATGGTTAAAACAGATCATATGAATGGTATCGTAGATATATTGGTAGGGCTGGGACACATTTAATCTAGAAATCTGAAGTTTGTGGTTGATCATAATGAAAATCACGTCATTCTCTCACGTCTTTATGAGATATAACCGTATTGTGCCTGAAAACTTTGCACAATCACTATACTATCTTCACATGGGCCTGGGAACACTCTGATCAATCCATCCTCACTTAATCTTTAGACAATCCTTTCAGTGGTCAGCGATGAAAAAATCCCTATCACATCATTTCAACAGGGAATTATCAATCATATAATACTCCACGATGTGACCTAGTTTTAGAGGAACACGGCTTCATTGCCCATTTTTGGAGAAAAGTGGACGTAAAGCACGAACTCTGTTATCATTGACAAGTCAGGTGGGTTTTAAAAACCTTCCGCCCGTGGGAAGGGCTGAGTCTAGAGAGTTGTGCTTTGTTAAAAACTAAACTTCTTCAGATATCTTAACATCAAGCTTTAGATCATGATGTGAGGTGTTGTTGGGAGAACACTGTGTGTCCGTTAATCCAAACTGTACCCATATTTATGGAACTGTCTGTCTGTACTAATATCTGTGTCTGTACTAATTATATTTGTGTCTGTACTAATATATATGTGTCTGTAGTCAGACATATAACCGGATATGTCAACTACTGATATATAATACCAGTTAATAACAGCACATTTTACATCATCTCACTAATTATCAGAACAATAACTAGCAATTAAATATTATTATATGAATAACTCCTAACTAGACATATTATCATATCAGTAACTAGCTACTATATATAAATAAATACATATATATATATAAAATTAATAACTACTAACTAGCAGCTATAATAACTGCACTGTAATATAGCGAATACGCCACATGATACATGACGTTCAATACCGTGGACTTCAGGCTACATGTAGACAACCACTAATTACAGTATATAACCAATATGGCAGAGTAGTAGTAGTAGTAGTAGTAGCTAGTGTATACTGTAGTGGTACACGCCAGTGTGTAGATGCAGTAACAACGTGAGTAGAGTCACCGTAGTGTTACCATGGTACCGAGTAGAAGAATGCAGGAAGAATGTAGGAATGTGGGTAGAATGTGAAGTGTTTGTCCTGTGACCCGGCCTAATTGTTTACATTGTTATGGAGAAGTAAGGTCAGTAACATTGTATTACCATGTGTATTGGACACGCTAATAATAACTAATACACTATATTTAAGTTAATGAGAGAGTTGATGTTAACAACTTGTTTTTATTTACCACCATACTCTGATTGTTACCTAATTCCACCCTTGGAATGTTAGTTAAACTCTTCGTATTATTATTATGACGTTTACTTTTTTATCATTATCTCTCTGCGGTTCATTAAACTCAATTCCACAGAATTAATTATACCTTTACATGTGCTCACCACAGTTAGAGTGCATGTAACGTATAGTAATTATGTAAGAATACAGATCAGTGTACAGTGTATAATGTATAGTTAGCATGTATAATCAAGTATGTACACACACGATATATCTCCTACTGTGTGGATCAAGCTGTCATGGCGGACATGGAGCTTGTCACTGAGTTGTAAAATATACAGACGTCTCACTTGAAAGTTAAATCATATATATGTTTGGCAAAGTTTTAGCTGGATAAGACCATAGTAACGTATAGTGTATACGTTTGTAGTAAACAATTGTAATTTTCTTAATTCAGCTTGAGGTCACTTGCATTATCTGAAATGATCATTAGAATTTGAGAGTTAACATGAAGCTGTCTCACAAGAAACGTGGTATGTGGTGACACCTGAAATGTTATCATAAAGCCCTGGATCAGATGAAATGTAAGGCATGTAAGGAGTAGCGTAAGGAGTAACTATAATATAGAAAAGTGCAGTGTAATTCAATCACATAAAGACAAGCTCCCAGTTCAACAACCCCTCCCACCATGATCATCGTCAGACTATCATCACGCGAGAGTATCATATCAAAACTAATATTACACGTCCATGTCACATTTCTCTAGTATAGCTGTTAAAGAACACGGAGATCGGAGTATATTATAATCTATAATTATAACCACGCTCTCTCTTATTGGATGTAGATAGATCAGCCTTGTCAAACTCCAGGTCACATAATTAATTTATGATTATGTAATTATGGGTATAATTATGTAATGACGTAGATAATTACTTAATGACTCTTTGCTCGTAGTGATGTGAATGTACTCGTTCCTACAGGTCTTACAGATCAAGAGTTTTAATTGCGAAATTATCAGTAGCAACTGCCAACTACTAGTTTATAATAATAGCAAAATTCTTATTGAAAGAAAATTTGTTCACTAGGAGTTACACATTAAAAAATACAGGATATGCCCATAATTTAAACTAAAATATGTAAAATATGCACTTACATTGTTATGTTGCCACTGCACCGTATCAGAATGTTGTCGTCGTTTAGAAGTTCGTGCTGATCTGTACTCTCTATCTCATCTTGAACTTGCCACATCGCCTAATAAGTTAATTAGTAAATTAATTAGTTAGTTAATTGTAAGCCCTGCTGCACTTTCTGACGGGGTGGGGAGGGGTGTCTGAAAACTAAAATATTGCTGACGTAATATTATGTAAACGATCCCTTATCGCTAAATGTGTTGAACGTTACGTGTTGTCATGGTGTGTAAGTGGTGCAGTGTCAGCCCCGTAACCAATGTAACGGTTAATAAGAGTATTGAGTGTCATGAAGTTCACAGAAACACACAAGTTGAGTGTAAGATGGTAGAAAGTTAATAAATCGTGGAAATGTTGGAGAGGTATTTGTGTTTTAGATGTGCTTTTTCCCCGGTAAATTTCTATAGAACTCTGACAGACGAGATGTAAACTTCTCTCTTTCCCCTGAAACTATTTCTCTTACAACTCTTAGGGAGATTATTTCTAGCAGTCTCCAAACTATTCCCCTCAAATACTTTATACATTTCAAAGCTAATATCGAGGGTTAAGTGCCCTAAAAACAAAAACAATAGGATTATGGCTGCTCAAAGCTCGAGAAAATGATCCTATTAAACCACAAATCTACGTAGCTGAATAAACTATTCGCAGTGCCACGTAAAAATGTAAGTTTCAAGGAAAAAGGGTTCACTTATCCATCTCAGACTATAATAACGAGCACCAGTCGCAGTCATAAGAACTGAATATGGAACAAACAATTAATGAATCTGTCACTAAATAGAGGAATTCTATCAATTTTAATGCATTTCAGCTGCTTAATTGCGAACTGTCTGAAGTCTTTGTCCGTTCTCAATTAAAAACTGTTTACGAGAAAAAACAGATTCACAAATTAACCATGTTTGGATTCGGCGTTACATCAAACGAACATCTCAAAGGATAATAGCTAAAGTGTGGAAGCACTAAAAACACAAACAATAGAAAGCAGCCAGTAACATATCGGAATAGAGAAATACAAAATATACAAACAGCAGTAAGCCCAAGATACAATATTAAGAGAAAGTAGAGGAGGGAACAGCGTGGTGCTAACTTTACACCAGGGGGGTGACTGTCGAGATAATAGTCCCATCTAGCATAATTTGATAGACGTTTCGTGAAATTGGACAATTAGTTTGATAAGGAGTATTAAGGATGGCCTCTTTATATTGGACGATTAGACACAAACATGGAACAATTTACCCAAACTTAAGCAGCAGAGAGTACACAATACCGCACATAACATGTGCGGTATTTTGGTATGCTCCACGGTTGAGGGTATTCAGGACATGTCAAACAGGTGAAGATTTTAAATTCCACAACCACTTTTATCAAGAAACTGCTAATCACTGTTGATACTGCGAGGTATCAAAAGGGTAATAAGGGGGTTTTGATTGAAAGTTTGGTGGAAACATACGATAAAGTAGGCTCTGATTATCTAGTTAATTAGATAATTAGTTGACAGGTGGAGACTGAAAAGGGCAGGGCAAGGACCAGGGTGCGTCTGGTAGCTACATATTTGAAGTGAGTGAAATACCGTACTGTTATTCAATACTAGGAAACACAGCAATATTAAAATGAGGGAGAATCCTTTTATATGCACGAAATACGCAGAAAAATATGTACACCAAGTAACCAGATGAATATTTACCAATATCATGCTGTCAGGTTACTGATTTTGGATATTCAAATTTATATTCTAAAAATCAAAATATTCAAAAAACATTTATCAAACAAATTATCTCAAACTAAGTTTAAAATTTTATAGGTTAAATATCTGAAAACGGACAAAATATATATCCAAAGAAGAAACGTCACTTCACGAAGTTCTACAATATATAAAAATAGTTACACCATTATAGAAAAACACTTTATCCCCACTCCTTACCAATACACATTAAATACCGGCACAGGAAACTATTCTAAAACTTAAACGTCAAACTCAAATATCTAATACTAATACTATACATTCCATTTCCACAAATACACCTCCCGAGCATGAGCAGTGTCTACTCGATATTAAAAGCAGTGAGAAGAGGTTGAAGAGATCTGGTGTCGATGTGAACCAGTTCGTCGTAGTGACGAGCCAGTGACAGCGCCAGTCTGAGAGTCTGCCAAACTGCTGCGCTGTCTTGTTGCTTTAAACACGTTAGGAAGTGCTCTATTCCCTCCCTGCAAAATATAGTGCAGCTCAATAAACTGTTGTTCAATATACTGCAGGTTATGTCCCTGTAAAATATTACCTTATTTAATATACAGAGCAGGATCGTGATGATATATCTAGTGGAAATGAATGCAAACTGTAAGATGATTATTATATAATATAACATATTAAACTATATATTATCATATCATATAATATATAGTATTGCACGGATGACTACTCTTAGTCTTATAAAGTTGTAGCCCGTCATTCGATAAAGTAGGCCATTTATTAAAGTACGTCATTAACGAGAAAGTGAATTATTATACGTAAATCCGTTTGGCGACTTTAAGTTATAATTTTAATTCCATATTCGCAGACAAGTGGGCTCCGGTACATGTACTTAAGTTCGACACGCAATCTAGTTCGACACAGATTTACTGTCTGCTTTGGAATTACTTTGGGGAAGCTGTCATAACAGGGAAATATCCGAGAGCTGGGTGAAGATATCAAACTTCAAGCCTAGTTCATAATGTGTCAAAATAAGAGAGATTTTGGAAAAATTTCGACGCTTAATTATGAGAATTTACGGTAAATGACACGGCAAATAATTCACGATATCGATAATCTTTAAAGTAGCTATCGAGAAATGCATGTAACTGTAAAGGAATATTTGACGTTTCCGCGAAATTATCAATAAAAATGCAGAAATTTCAAAATTTTCCTTGATAAGTAGTCTAGTTCCAATGATTACCAAAAATGTGATGAAATAGTGTACACGACGAAACGTGAGACATAACAAAGTTACTTAGGAATGGAAATAAAGTCATTTGACAAACAAACAAAAACGCTGCGTTAAATGTTTAAAAATTAAAGAAAAAGTTGTCGTTTCTTATGCATTTTAAAATGTGTGGGTGAAATGCAAATGAAGATAAACTCATGAACCAGAAGCGATCTACAAAGCAATTAGTAAACAATAATTAGTTAACAATTAGTAAACACTACACAATTAATGTATCAGTCCACATAATATAACAATTGTAGAGTATCCCAGAGTATACACACAACGAAACGTGAAAGAAAAGAGCCGAACAGCCGTCAGAGTAAGACGTGACATCAAATATTTGATACCAGGTCCCCAGATAAAGTGGGTATCAAATATCACGTTAAACAGATAACTTTTGAGATCCCAAATACCGCTGTAAGTAAAACAATCTCACAGATTAGATTTCAGCGCGTTAACCTGCAAATTTACAACTAAAATAATGACAGCATCACCAGCTTACCTGTAAGCGTGAAGGTTCAAACAGGCTATCCCTAAGTTGTATCGCGCGCGGATGTATCCAGGAGAGAGACTGAGAGCGCGTCTGTACGCCTCCACGCTCTCACTGCTCCTATCCGAGTTAGCCAGTGTAGCACCTAATCTGTTCCACAACATGAAGTCCTGCGGCGACTTCCTGACTGCGTCCCCGAAGTGCTCTGCTCCCACGTGGGGCTCGTCCAACAAGCACGCGATGATTCCAAGCGCTGTGTGCACCTCTATGTCGGTGTTTGGGGTTCGAGGCAGAGAGCTGTAAGTGTTGCGTAACGTTACCGCGTTTACTGGTACATCTCCTGTTTAAAGACAAAGTTAATGTGCGGACCACCGTAGCAATGTTATCAAATATGAGCTGGTATTTATAGGTAGCTGCTACTTGAGGTTTTAACATTAACTCATCACTTAAAATCCTGAAAATATATAATATTACACAGTATGTTAACATGCGTACTTGAGAGAATCTCCTCGCGAAACAACGTACATAGTAAAACTAGCGCTGTGAGCAGAGCTGATAAACTAAACCCGTACTGTTGCCCAGACTACACTGTGTTCCTGGTATCGCGTGCCAATTGCTTGCGGAGGAGGTGCCAATTTATCTGACTAACTATATTATATTTTAAAAACTGTCGTGTTAAGAACAGGGATGGAGGGATGTGATAGTTCGTGATAGGGTTCAATCGCAGGACTGTACTTTTGCGTGTTATTCGTCTTTGAAGTTATAGGTCATCGTGTAAGAATCAAATTAAACGAGTTTTATTCATATGTAAATTACGAAACATTACTTTTGCGAAAGATATTAGCTCTTTTAAGTTGTGCATGGCCCGCCTGATCTATGTCATTGTTTGCCAATCAAGCCACATTACTGTTTGTAAAGATGCTAAAAAGCGTGATAGTCTTTAAGGGGAGATACACCAAAACCGTTTTTGCTCCGAACATCGATTTTATTTTATATTATTTTTAAATAGACAAAAAGAATAAGATTGTACACCTTCAAAAATTTTTAAAAATATTCCCTCATCGAGAAAAAAATTATTTTTCTTTTTCGAAAATTTTTAAAATTTGGAGAAGTCTGTCACTGTAATACCGATAGTTCGGCCATTTAAAAAGTTTTTTGGCTGATTTTTTTACTGAACATTACTTACACTCCGTACTAGAAGCCAATGAAAGGATTATATAATTGGACAATAAATGACCAAGTTACAGACCGAACAAGGTGAAAAAAGAAAAATTGGGATTTTTGCCTACCACCAAAGTTGTACATTTCACCACCCGCCCAGGTCATCAGATATCGCTTCAAAAATTCTTGTGAGTGTAGTTGATGATCATGGCAAGCGTTTTGGAACCGGATTTCTCTCAATTTTGAGTTTTAAGCTATGCAATGAGGCCTCAAACGACTTAGTAAAATTCATCGTAAAAAAGGGCAAAAAAGGCAGATTTAAGGCTTAAAATGCCTATAACTCAAAAAGTATCAGTTTTTTTGAAATAATTTTTACAGGATCGTAATCAGCTTGGTAAGACGAATCTTTTAGTACGACATTTATAATATTCAAAGCCACAAAATTTGTAAAAAAATGTGTACAATTTGTACAAAATTTATACAAGGGGGGACCCTTGTGTTCGAGCTAGAAAATTATTTAAGACAATTTGTCTTCTTAAAGCACCTATTTGGTACTAAAAGATTCGTCTTACCAAGCTGATTACGATCCTGTAAAAATTATTTCAAAAAAACTGATACTTTTTGAGTTATAGGCATTTTAAGCCTTAAATCTGCCTTTTTTGCCCTTTTTTACGATGAATTTTACTTAGTCGTTTGAGGCCACATTGCATAGCTTAAAACTCAAAATTGAGAGAAATCCGGTTCCAAAACGCTTGCCATGATCATCAACTACACTCACAAGAATTTTTGAAGCGATATCTGATGACCTGGGCGGGTGGTGAAATGTACAACTTTGGTGGTAGGCAAAAATCCCAATTTTTCTTTTTTCACCTTGTTCGGTCTGTAACTTGGTCATTTATTGTTCAATTATATAATCCTTTCAATGGCTTCTAGTACGGACTGTAAGTAATGTTCAGTAAAATAATCAACCAAAAAACTTTTTAAATGGCCGAACTATCGGTATTACAGTGACAGACTTCTCCAAATTTTAAAAATTTTCGAAAAAGAAAAATATTTTTTTTCTCGATGAGGGAATATTTTTAAAAATTTTTGAAGGTGTACAATCTTATTCTTTTTGTCTATTTAAAAATAATATAAAATAAAATCGATGTTCGGAGCAAAAACGGTTTTGGTGTATCTCCCCTTAAGTCTTACGAATTCGTTTAGTTCTGTATAACTGTTCTGGGTAGTGACTGATGATATGTCAAATCATGTCAAAATTTGGAACCAAACCGAACGATTTTGCCTCGTGACGACTATATTGTATAATATGGGCGGGTCAAAGTGCCTTTCATTAAAAGTTTCGTAAGTAGCCAAAGTTAAACAATGATAATTTATATGATTCTAAAATCCCCTTCTCGTCAATCCAAATGATTGAATAGAAGAAGTCGAAAGTGCTGTAAATCTCACAAAAAAAACTACAATTTCAAGTCTCAAGCTTTTAGCGATTAGCTTTTTGTGGCTGTGTCATATTGCTCCACTCCCATCACGTGATGGAACTATAAATAACCACAAAAGCCCTCAACCAGTCCCACCTTTTGTGAGAGCTCCAGGGTGAGAAACTTGAAGCCACTTTGCAAGGCAGTCAGTTGACGTAGGGTACTTGTATTCGTTCAGGTAGCTAGCAGCTAATCCTAACAGTGTGGAGGGGTAACACATGTCGTCCTCTTCTACTCTGAAGTTATGGGGGAACCATCGTCAAATGGGGGTGGATTGAGAATAGCTTACTAGTTAAAATATCCTATTATAACAGGATAAATTGTAGAGAAAGGGCCGAAGAGCAATGTCGCATGTCGTATCTAAAATACATAATATAATTAAATAACGTTTTAAGATCATAATTAGGTCACACAAATTTAAACGCGACACGATGGCTTGCGGAGGAGGGTGGCCTGATTTAGTAACCACATACTTGTTGAAAGCACTGATAGCCTGGGGTTCGTTCTCGCTCTGTTGGTGACACAGTCCCAGGTAATACCACGCTTCACCACACTGCTTATCTAGCTGCACTAACGTCTCGAATATAGAGATAGCAGACAGTAGATCACCTGTCGGGAGTTCAGCTGTTGTTATATTTGGTAGTAAGATCATTATGTAATAAAGCGTGATATTCTGAGGCATTTAAGTGAGGGTAACTTGGAAATTAAAAGGGAATAGTGATTAGTGATGGTAAAAATTTATGAATCTCATTTCAATCACCTCGTTTGATCATGTCAATGCCCATATCGATATTACTGGTGGAGTCCTGAGTCTGAGTCACGTACTCATATTCTGTATCTACTTTCTCCATATCTACTCTGTCTTGTGCAGTTAACTCGTTGCTGACTTCTCTTCCTAACCTGGTGAGAGTTCAGTTTCACTTCGAAATATGTTTATTTTAATACCTTAACTTTAAGTACAGGTCTTTAAAACTTTAAAACGAATTTTGATGTTTATTAAAAAGTTACCTGAACTCTCGTATCCACTGTTCTACGATGTTTTCTGCCTCAGAAAGATTCTCAACTTTTATCACATCGTTAAGGTGGAAATCTTTTAACCATTCCTCTGCTAGCTCGTGGGAGAGTTCAACATCAACAACTTCCGACGCTCTGACTTTAAGGAGTACCTCGGGGTGGAATCTTCGGATCCTAATGCAGAATGGGTTGCTCAACAATTATCATCAACAATAAACAATGAGCAACAAGAACAGGTCACGGCTATTAAGTGCTAATATTATGATATGAGGATGTTCTACTTAGCTATGCCCAGGAATTTGAGCATGTTGGGTTACTGTATTAAATAGGTGAAGTAACTCGTAATTTACCATTCCGCAAAGTTTCTGTTCTGAAATTGTCTATGGTCTGGTTCTTGTCTCTCTTGCGAGAATCGCTGGTGAGGTCTCCAGAAATATTGTGAAGGAGGTACAATTGAGGATGCTTCCCGTTGAGTACCACTAAATTCTGAAACTGTTTAGTAGTATGAATAGTAATATTAGTTGAACAGTTGGTGTATAATTTCAGTTTAGGTTTGAGGTATGATGTGGCTCTTTTGTTGTTCCTTTTTCTCTCAACATCCTGTCATCCATACTTACAGTATTGGTTCAGAGATTTCGTCTTAAGTAGGGGCTGTTTGGAGGCACTTTGAATAAGCGGCACATGTACATGTTGAAACTGACTAAAATCAGATTGGTTTGCTTGAACTGAAAACACTTTTATCAATACATAATTTGTACTATCATAAAAAATCATTATTATCTAGGGATATTGATATGCAGAATACAGACACGATTTTAAGATAAAATATAACGTTCAAAATTTAAGAGCTCGAAATTGATCACCAGCTGATCATGGCTATCTATTTACCTGCTGAACTAGAGTCAAGTTGAACATTTTCCACTTGTTTCAGTAGATCTGAGATGTTATGTGAACTGCAACTGGGATTGTTGCCATATCTCTTATCAGCCCTAAAAGAGATCGCGTTATCATGGTATTTATTGTGATACATGATAATAATATATTTAATAATATGTTGTATTGTTATTCATGAACATAAAGTCAAATTTCTCATTAAAATTATAGATTAAAACTTTAAATATACCTTCCGGCTGCTCTATAATTGTTGGCTAAAGAAACCAACGGATTTGGTCCACCACATGCATCTGCAGATAGAGTCATCTAATAAACGTTAGCCACATTCACATTCTAAAATTTGTATTTTATTATCTAATTTAAAATATCATTTGACATGAGTTATCCATAACACTGTACTCATGCAATCATAAAATATAAGGGTAGATTCGTTAGGATTTAAAGCATATCAGAGGAATCAAATAATCTCAGTAAAATAAGTTCAGTATTAGATGTTAAATATTTCTATTTCATACACTGATATTAATTGGGCACATTATATCATATCTGTACCTAAACTATAAAACTCACAAAAAGGGTCACACAAAATCTGTACCAAAATCTACAAATAACGTCAATAAAAATTTGCTAATTTAACTAATTGAAAGACTAAATAGTCATGTTCATGACTTTCTACCAGCCAAAAATTCACTCAATAACTGCTGAGCAGCAGTACTGGGCATCATAACCCCATCTTTCACATCTTCTTCAAGTTTCTTTTGAAATTCTGTAATTGTATTATCTCTCTTGAAGTGATCCATGAGTTCATATTGGACGTGATCCCACAGCCATGAAACCCTTTGTCTCCTCCTCCTATCATAATACTTTCCAGTTGATATCATTTCTTTTTGAAACTCCAGCATTTCATCCCATGCATCTGAAATACCTTCTCCATTGAGAGCTGATACAGTAAGAACAAATGGTTTCCAACTTGTGTCGTCATGGTTACGAAGTAGCCTTAGAGCTCGTGAATACTCAGTCTTTACAAGTCTTGTAGCTGTTTTTAGGTTTCCATCAGCTTTGGTAACAATAATCATGTCTGCAACTTCCACGATCCCTTTCTTAATACCCTGTAATTCATCACCAGAGCCAGGTGGTATAAGTAAAACAAACAAATCAGTCATGTTTGCTACTGCAATCTCACTCTGCCCAGCCCCAACAGTCTCCACAATAATAACATTGTAACCAGCTGCTTCACATAGTTGAATAGCATTGCTAGTAGCTCGGGCCACTCCCCCAAGATGTCCTCTGTTTGGCGATGGCCTTATATATGCTGATTTGTGTACAGAGAGATGTTGCATTCTTGTCTTGTCTGCTAGTAAAGATCCTCCAGACCTAGTTGATGAAGGGTCAACTGCTAACACAGCTAATTTGTTGTTAAGCTCAGCTAAATGTAATCCAAGAGCTTCAATAAATGTAGACTTTCCAGCCCCCGGTGGTCCAGATATTCCTATTCTGAGTGATGTATTCTTCAAATTGTGTTTCAAAACAGATGACATAAGATTGGCTGCCTCTATCTTGTGTTTATCAAGACTAGACTCAGATAAGGTAATAGCCCTGGCTAGAGCTGCCCTCTCCTTGGAGATAAGAGGATTGAAGAGAGGATGGACCTGACCATTGCTTACATTTCTTGTGCAGGATTTGCACAAACCGTAAGAATAGACTATTTTGGTGTTGAACATTTTCATCTTGTTCATGATATACTGAAATGAGGGAGTTCTATTCAAGAAAAATCAATTTATTAAGACATGCCATTACATGAACATGTGCCTTGATTTTCATCACAATGAAAAGAGTATAGTAAATTTAGGGGTGAAGAAAATTCAGATTTGATTTTTTATCCTGGGGGAAGCATGAAATGTTTAATAAAATAAAGGAGATTATCTCACCATAACAACAGAAATAACGATAAAGTTAAATAGTACCTCATGTCACATATCATTCCTGAAAGCCTGCCGTGATCACTCACTCATCCCTAAGGGACTCAGACTCACCAACCCACTATCCACCAAACGCTCAACTGAAGTCCTCACTCACGCATCTAACCTCCTCATCACTGAAAGACTCAACCACTATCGCCTCAAATATGCACAACACAAACGCACTTATGAGCACAACCTCAGACACATAGAATCACTCATAACCCCTCAATATTTTCAGAAACTAGGACACCTCAACACCAAAAAATCCTCATACACCCACAGAAAACAACTCCTTACTCACCAAAAGAAGTTCGCGGTACTACTCTCAGAATACGACACCCCGTTCCTCTCACCCTACGACACTCTTAAAACGCTCGACATACCCTCTCCCACATTTCATGGTCCCCTCCTCAAGACCTCACCTACCCCCAAGAAAGACACCACAGCCAAAACAGTGATCAACCTCTCTGGACAGACCCTCTCCACAGCTGAAACTGACGTCCTCTCCCTTGGACTGAAGTTCGTCCCGACACCCACCTCAGATCCTACCCCCGACCTGGCTCCCCTCATACAGAATATCACTAAACAACTAGGAGAAGGCATGGAAGCCTCAGCCACATATCAGGTCACCTCTGTATTATCTAAATTTGACAATAAACGTGACATGACCACCGACAATTTGACTCCACAACAACGTACCGCTCTTAAATCTTTAAAATCTAAGAAATCTGAATTGAAATTTCTTCCTGCTGATAAGGGCAACGCCACTGTTGTACTGACTCACGATCAATACATAACCAAAGTTACCGACCACTTATCCTCAGGTAGTTACACCCTCCTAACGAAAGACCCCACTCAATCCGTTACCACTAAACTACAGAAAGTCCTCAAGAAACTACACACCGACAAGAAGATCACGACCGACCTATACCACAAGATGCGCAACCTACATCCTAGATGGCCTCAACTTTACGGACAACCTAAGATACACAAACCCGGCGCACCTATCCGTCCCGTAGTCAGCTTCTACAACACCCCCCTCCAAGCCCTCCACAAAGTCCTCGCATCTTTCCTCAAACCCCTAGCCCAGAACCCCTTACGCCTCAAAGACTCTTCCGACTTCAAACATCGCTTCGACTCCTCTCTCAATCCCTCCTTCCACTACCACGCCTCCTTAGACGTCCAATCCTTGTACACCTCCTGTGACATGCGCCTAGCCCTCAAAACTGTCATCTCCTCCTTTGAACAGAACCCCTCTCGTCTTCCCTCCAATGTCACCACCACCACCATAGGCTCCCTTATCAACTTTTGCCTTGACAACTCATACCTTGAATTCAACGGCTCCTTCTACTCCCAAGACGAAGGTGGTACAATGGGATCCCCCCTCATTGTTGAACTAGCTGAAATCCGCCTTGCTGAAATCGAGACCTTAGCTTTATCCTCATGTCCTGACCCTCCGAACACTTACTCCCATTTCGTTGACGACGGCCTTGGATCTTTCAGAGACAGAAACCACGCAGAATCCTTCCTTACATTCCTTAACTCCCTTACTGAAGACCTCAACTTTACCCAAGAACATCCCTCTACAGACGGAACTATACCCTTCCTTGACGTTCTCATCCACCCTGACAAATCCACATCAGTCTACAGAAAACCCACCCACACCAACCTCTACACCAAGTACTCCTCCTGCACCACCAACTCATCTAAGAACGCAGTCATCCGATCACTGACCAGAAGAGCCCACAACATCTGCTCACCCCAACACCTTGACGACGAACTCCAGACAGTACGACACGTTTGCCTCCAGAACGGCTTCCCTCCTCACCGCATCACCACCATCATGGACGAAGTACAACGGAAATTCACCAACCCCTCTCGCCACCAATCCCTAGCCTCATTCAACCGACAGACCCGTGAACATGCCCTTAGTGTTTCTCTTCCTTTCCATCCCTCCCTATCCAAACCCATCTCCAAGATACTCGGACAACACGACATCAAAGTCACCCACTCCTCTGCTACCTCCCTCCGCAACCTCCTCACCAAAACGAAGACCACACCCCCTACTCACCTCACTCCCAACACCATCTACGAAATTTCCTGCTCACAGTGCCCCTCCAAATACGCCGGACAGACCTACAGACCCTTGGTCCACCGCATGAAAGAACACGAACGATGTTACAGACTCAACAACGCCATCGACGAATCCACAGACAGAATCAAATCAGCCCCTGCACATCATGCCCTGACCACCGGCCACACCATCTCCTGGAACAACATCGAAGTCCTCAAATCCCTCACCTCACGCTCCCAACTTGACCTCACAGAACACGCAGCTATACAAATACGACAACCAGCTATGAACAGAACAGACCGCGCACCCAAATGTAGTTCCCTCTGGGACCCCATTCTTCCTAAAATTGCCAAATCCTTAAAGTCCAGACCATCTGGCATTTCCTTCTCAACCTCAACAGAAGACTAAATTTTTATTGACATTGTACTGTAATTTTCACTTTCCCACCCACACCTCCCCCACCCTCCATCCCTGACACCACTCAATCACATATAAGCATTGTCCACCACATCACATTCAGCTGACGACGATTAACACATGTTTATTGAAAGCTTCTACAAGTTAAATCATCGTATCTCTTATATGTTTTTAACCCAACTCCACTCAGTTTTAAATAGTACAGCTAACAGGGAGTGTGAATGTTGAGAAGATTAATACCTTAATTTGTGAAAGATTTTTTTAAACTGCTGACGTCGATGGTTGCTTTGCAGATCTCTAATTTCTTCAAGGAAAATTGATTATACTTACAGACAGATGATTAAACAGATGTTACAGTCTAATTACTGAGAACATGAATCATAGGTTATCATTATTCATATTTCATAATTCAATAGAGTTTTCGGTACACTCCAATGTAGCTTATTTTTTAATTTTTTATCAAGACACCTCTTTTACTTCGGTGTATTCCAACAGCCACATTGTTACACAAGTGCAACCAACCAATTACAGGAAGCCGAAGGATTTGTTTTTAGCCAGTGACGGTTCAGGTAGTGTGTACCATACTTTCTTTGCCCAAGACTTTGCTGCAATGTGCAGCTCCTCATTTAACCCTCACACCCGATTTCTCGAGTATTCGGCTGAGTAGACCGGGGGGCTGCATAGACCACTCAGGATCCTTAGCTGAACGTCAACGACTCTCACCCCACGACCAGGCAGACAGTGGGATTCGAACCCGCAACCTTACGATTGTAAAGCTGGCGTTCTAACCAACTGCGCTACCTGGCCCTAAAAATATAAAATAAACATTAATTGATAAATGTTCCCTTTAAATTTATACTGAAGGATGCCCCTACAAGATCTATCAAGCAATTGTGTGATGT